AGCAGGTCGGGCCAGGAGCGTGACGTGACGGAGCAGATCGGGACTTTCAGGATATTCATATATATGTTTTGGACTGTATAACTAAGATTTACGCTTCCGCTTACGTTTTGTCGATCTTTTGACGATATTTTGATGGTTTTTGACGAACTTATTATATTTTTACGTACTTTTCAGAAAACACAGTTTTTCAGTAACCGAACGTTTTTAATAAGTTAAAACAACGGTCTTCTAAGTTAAGTAACGATTTTTCACGGTAACACCCCAAATCAGTTTTCGCAAAGTAAAAAGGTTTTATTTTTAAAGACTTTGCGAATAAATGCGCGACTCTGATTTATCTAGTAAGGTGGGGTGTTACATATGCCTTCATTTTTCTGCTCCTTTAGTCTCGGTTTCCTATTTTGTTCATGATCGGTGGAACCTCTCGGTTCTCTCCTCGCGAGTTGGATTTGGGGGTTCATGGTTGGGAGTCGTAGCTGCTGCTGGGGACAGGTTGCTGTTTTCGGTCCGTGCTCGACTGTTTGATCATGTTCAGCTATTTCGGGCCGGGTTGAGCCATCATTGTTTCTTCTCGTGATTGGAGGGCGGGTCAGCTCTGCTATTGGTCCTGGGGTGCGGTACCCATCTTGTTAGGATTTCTGCAGTGGTGGGCGGTTCATTCTGTGTTTCGGAGCTGTATGAGGAGTTGGTTGTCTGCCGTCTATCTGGATATCTCTGGCGAGGGAGGCTGTGTCCTTCTTCTTGTTTTTTGTTTTAGTTTTAGTTTAGGTTTGTTTGTTCTGTGTTCAGTGTTGTTTTTCGTGTTTTTGGTCTGGGTCGTTGGCCTCTGTGAGCCCGAATGTCACCTTATTATTCCACTGGGATCCGACACTCGGGTATTACGTACCCTGTTGGGGTCTTTTTAGTTGTTTTTAGTTTTAGTTGTGATTGGTTGTTGTGTAGTTGTTTAGTTTAGTTGTGAGTGGTTTATTCTAGCCTTGCTAGTCGGGATTCTAGGTGGTCTTTTGACCTGTCCTCCCACTTTTTTAGTTGTTGGCTGCTGATTATTCAGCCGTTGGCAGCTGTGTATTTGCATTGTTGTGCGTTTTGATTTATAAAATTTCTATCATTTCAGAAAAAAGAAAAAAAAAAGAACTGAAACGAAAATTCTCTTCTCCAAAAGCAACAAATGAACAACATTTTAACCATGCAATAAATATTGTATCATGTTATTTTTTTGCTGATTTTATGAGGCTTGTAAAAGAAAGTGGTAATAGTCGATCCACACCATTGTTCATCGTTCATAATACAATTGACTAAAAACTAAAACGGTTGCTACAGTCTCATTTCACAAAACTATATCGTTATAGATAAATATTTGTTTTTATATACTTTTTATTTAAAGTATTTTCGAATTATATATACATATAAATATATACCCTAAAATTATGGCTAATTACTTGTAGATGGGGGAATTTGTTTTGCTGGGGGTCAATAAAACCATCAAGGATAGGATCAGCCTTCCTTCTGATATCCTTCTTAGAAGTGTGACCAGGCCTAGAATGAATCATTTGAGTGGGAGAGAGTTTTCGGAAGGGGTTATGGATTGTCACCAAGATCCGAGTGCCTTGTTGCGCAACGTTGACGATTACGCTTGGGCTCTGATCCGATTCCAACGGAGCAAATGCGAAGCAATTGTACAAACCGTACAGAGGATGCTTGGTCGTCAAGCTCGGCCCATGGGAAAAGAAAAGCGTGATATTCGGTATCCTCTCCGTCTCGTCGAGCTGATAACACATGTTGTGACTCGATCTTGTCGTCACGTTCCCCATCGCCTTTATGAACACATCCCATAGCTTAATGTAGGCTTCCGCAGGTAACATCGTGACCGTCATCCCCGTGTCCACTATCATCCCTCTATCTTCCTCGTCCGACATCCTAAAGATCATCTCGTTTATGCCATCCACTCGGACCCCGTCGACCCCAAGGCCCGTGAGGCCAATGTAGTAGTAGCTCGAGAACTTGGAGCTGTGAAGCAGAGGAGTCCACTGGGCACCGGTGGGGAAATTTGACCGCCCGAATTCCAACCATCCCGTACGTGTAGCTGAGACAGTAGCTGAAAGCCCCACCTAGCGTCCCGCTCGACTGGCTCGCCAGCGAGAGGGACCCGCCAGCCAGGCCCAGAACCCCGTTCACGGTGAAATTAGCCATGAAGTTAGCCACATGGGCGCATCCCACGGGCACTCTGTCGGGGACCACCAAGTCCCTAACCATGACGCTCTCGAGGGCCATGGTTCTTTGAGTGTGGAGCCCGCCCGAGTACCCATAGTCGTACGTGCAGACCGCTGTTGAGACATTGCAGACGAGGATGTTGTCATAGCTACAGAACTTGGCGTTGCAAGAAACGGGGACAAAAGAAGTGGATTTGGTTGGGCCGAAAATCGGTCTGGATGGGGTGGAGCAGTCGGGGCAGGGCTCGCAATCGAATCACAGGAGATTGTTGTCCGTGTCGATGAACAGGTCTTGGCTCTGCGGCGGGGTGCCCACGCCGAGGGTCACATAGTATGCCGTGTGGTGGTAGAAGTTCGCCAGGTGACGACGGGTAGTCGGGCTGTTGGTGTGGGTCAAAGGAATCCTAGTGCCGATGGTGGTTGAGATAGTAAGGAAGAGGAGGAGGAGGAGGAGAAAGGCTCGACAGGTAAGCATGGTTGACTAATCACTAAACGAGCAGGGTTTGACAAGTTCGGATGTAGTTTCGTAAATGCGGGATTGAAGGGGGAGACTTATAGGCGGTTCAAGTTTCGGAGCAATAGATATGACATTTATAATGTTTAAATGAGTGGCAAAAAATATATAAATAAAAAAAAAAATTTGTCCAATTTTTCTCAACGGTTTCATTTTGAAATTCAGTTTTTCATTAGCATTATTATTATTTTTTATTTTTTTTGGTTGGGTAAAGGTATTTTTTTCTCAACGGATGAGAGCCTCTTTTGAAATTGTTCAATTTATTTATATATTTATTTTTTTTAATAGGGAAGAGGCTTGTGACGCATTAGATGATTCAACCAATACCGAGTTGGAAAAGTCCTCACTTTTTGGGGTGTTTTTGTATATCGAAAAATTCTATTCATACTTAATTTACACTTAAAGTCTAACTCATTTTTAACCTAACTCCATTATCCCCAATATTATCAATATAATTAAATAATACCAACCAATCATTTTTACACATCATATCAACTTTAATTTATTACTAGAACGCCACTCGCGCATTGCGCGGTTGATGTTAAAAAATGATGTGAATGAATTATAATTTAAATAAAATAGAAAATATTCATAGAATATGCATAGAGATAATAAATAGTAGGATGATTTTTTTTTTTCATTTTATTTTAAAATAATTATCTAAATATAACATTATTAGTGGATGAATTATATTCATTATTACCATTATCAACATCAATAATAATCATTAGACAATATGCTTTTTTCATAAATACTTTCAAATTAAATAAATATAACATTTTGTGATATTCGATGAAAATTAGTATTTGTCACATTAATGACACTCTTGGAAGCTTTTTCCTAAAAATGTCTTGATAATAACATAATTTTCTTCATTTGTGAATAACTAAAGACATTATTGTTATTATATAGATAAGCTGATACAGAATAACTGAAATAAACATGTACAGATATGAGCAATTTAAAATTAAAATATATAACTTTAAATATAGTACCCCTTTTGTTTTATACTAGTGCCCCATTTCTATTGTTATGAGTCGCCATGTTTTATTTTATTAATTATTCGACGTCAATCGGAAAAATCATTCAGAATCCATCCCATTTTTATTTTCGAGCCGTTTTCCAAACGAACCTTGAAGTTGTTACTCAACCCAATTTATTGAGAATTTTCGATCCATTTAGATTATTAATTTCACCCTGTTTTTGAATTAATTACGGCCCACTCTATGTAGACGTGGCCAAATCACCCGGCCCCGCCCGCCGAGTCAACGGGTCTCAATTTGATGGCTCGTAACCGGCCCGTCAATTTCTATGACCGGCCCCGAACCGCTGGGTCACCGACCCGCCGGTTTTCTGCCGGTTCGGCCCATTAAAAATATTCACACAACACTGTCGCCCGTCTTCCAACCCGCAGCCCGACTCGGCCCGGCCCGGATCATCGGGACAAAAAATAAAAGAACCGGAACCGACTCGCATGGCCACGGTACCAATTCACAAACCGCCGAAAATATGGGCCGATTGCGGGCCGGTTCGAGACCGATTTATTTCCGGGACAACGGGCCGGGTTGGCCCTTGGCCACCTCTAACTTTGTGTGCTAATTTTCGGCCCTTTACAAGCAACTAAACTCGACCCAAATTGATTTACCTTCCGGACCATTTGATAAAACGTTGTTTCGGCCCAATGGAATTAAATTCTTGGCTCCTTTTTTTGCGATTCGTGTGGCAGAATCTCTCAAATCCTTGGCCCTCGAGAAGTTGTCTTGTTCACGATTTATTTCCTACAAATCTATCCAAATTCTTTCTCCTCATTCTTCTTCGATCAGAAAAAAATAAATAAATAAATTCGTCGCTCTTCGTCCGATCTCGTCTCTCTCTGTGGCACCATTATTTTTTTCCCGGCGTTTCTTTTTCCGAGCGCACTGCCATCGCCTGCGAGAGAGGCCGCCGTCCTCTGCTCGTCATCGAGCAGCAGCGTGTCCTTGAGAACCTGTCGTCATCTATCCCCGGACAGCGCCTCCGTCAGACCGTAGCAGCCTCGCCGTCATCTTCTTCCCGCACGCCATTCTTTCCGGCGACCACCTGTCGCCGCCGAGAGCCCATCGCCGTGTCCATCGCGAGCCTTGTTTAGAATCAGAGCCGGTCCTGAATATTATAAAGTCCTGGGCCAAACACGAAAATAATGCTCGAGTATTATTTAACAAAAAATTATAGAATTTATAACCCATTTCTTTTTTTTTTGAAAAATTAAATAATAGAATTATATAACCTAAAAAATAAAATGCAACCTTAAAAAAGCTAGCAACTACAAGCATAAGCATATTCAATAAAGAAACTATTGTCAGGTGTGCGACCCGGGTCGACCAACAGATTAGTCGGAGCATAGCTCCGGATACTGTGGCTGGCTACAAAAAGAAAAAAATAAAAATAAAAATAAAAAAACTATTGCGCCCTGCATAAAAAATAATGATATGATGTCACGTTTTAAAAGTTAGTGTATGTTTGCATTAAATATTACTAAATATCCCTCCTATATATAATCCCCGAATGCGCTGAGCCTACGTGGTCTGGTGCTTCGGAATCCTACTTGGCGAAGAATCATGCTTCGTTATTAGGTTTGGACAAATATTATTGATATATTAATAATTAATAATCTAGGTTCAGATATTCCATAAATATTATTTAGCTAACTTAGGTATTTTAATAACACTTGTACTAATATAACCTTTTAATTCTTTATAATTTTACATAGTGAGCCACTAAGTGACTAATATATCCCTGACTTTTGATTTGTTTCTTTCAATTAGCTATTGAATTATAAATGTATTTTAAAAGTTGATAACTTTTGTTTTTCATATCGGTTTTACATATATAAAATATCAAATTAATCATCTTTTCATGATCTTCGATTTGACATCCATATTGTATATATAAAATAAATAAATTATATTTATCTTTATAATAAATAATAATATTTATTAAAATTTATTAGAAAAATAAATTATTTCTCAGTTGATATATTTATATTTAATGTAGTTATATGTTTCAAGTTAAAAAAATTATTATAATATAACACAAGTAAGTCACACAAATAAACATACTAAATATATAATAATATATATTTTTTTAATAAAAGATATTTAAATTTTCAACTACTTTTTCTCATTAATTTTAGATTTTAAGGAAAAAATTTAGCAAGAACCCGTGTAATACACGGGCGTTGTATTAGTATTTGAATATACATTAAAAAACTTTTATTTAGTGAAGTAAATTTAAACTATAAACTAATAGTTTTTTTTTTTTTAAGAAGTAAATAAGATAAATAGGGTACTTAAAATAATATAATAATGTATAATAATTAGGAAGAAAGAGAGGGAGAGAGAAACATAGGGTAGTTCATAGTTGTTGTGTAGAGTACAAAATTGTTATAGGAAAGAGAAAAAGTAAAGAAGACCATATTAATTATTTTAATATTAGAGAGAGATTTCATGTAATAAATGTGGATACCCTGTATTGAGCTGGTCTTACTTTATTTTTTTTCTCTATTTTCGAAAACAAAATGAAAATAAGACAAAAAGCATAATATAAATGGGCCGGTCTGGTGCCTCTTGTTGAATTGGGCCCTGGGCTGTTGCCCAGGTCGCCCTGGGCCAGGCCGGCCCTGTCTAGAAGTTTCAGCCGACATTCGCTAGCCCCCATCCACGACCTGCCATACTGCCCTTGCCGAATAAGCCATTCTTCTAAGCAACCACTTTTCTCGAGCAGCCTTCGCGACAGCCTCTTCCCGCCAGATACCTCCACAAACGGCAGCAGCGAGCCACGCGTAAGAAGCATCAGCCTGCGACCCATCCTCTCTGAGCCAGCAACGTCAGAGAGTGTAGCCGTGCTCGAGCCAATCCAAACCGTGGTCGAGGTTTCGGTTCGTTCGTGCAATCCATCGCCAACCGAGCGTGTAGATTCCCAAAGGAAGATAGTTCGACGAACTTCCTTGTTATTTTTATGCTCGTGTTGAAAGCATGGGTTAATTCGTGTTCGTTGAATCAGAATCTGTTATTTTTGGTTGGATAAATATTGGTATGTATTATTCGTATTATTCATTTGTTGCTTTGTGAAAATCGTGTGGAATTGGAACTCTCGCTGATGCCTATATCTGGTGAAATTTTGAGCTTCGGTTTATTATCTGAGCCCTCATCTTGTGTTGTTTATGTTCGGTTAATCGTGCCCGTAAGTTTTGAAATTTTTGTTGAGAAAGAAAATCATAAGGTTTTTTTGAGCCTTGAAACCCTTGTGTTGATTGCTGTTTTGTCACTGTTTTTTACCTCTAGAACTCAATCGAATGATTTCGAATTCTTCATGTAATTTGAAGTTCAGTCTCTTATGTTTCATCTAGTGTGATAATCACGTGTTTATCATTTTTATAATGAAAGTTATGAAGAAAGTATATTCGTTGCGCAGTCAGTCCTCTTAAAATCATGGTCGTACACGTCTCTACTTTCCATGTTGTTTTGGTCTTTGTCTTTTAGTCAAACATTTTGGTGTCTGAACATATTTTGTAGATAAGTATCTTACGCTAAAATAAGCGTAAGAATCACAAGATTATCTCTCTTACACTGAAAGTTATGTTCAAAATATAATTATTGCCCGGTCAGTTTTTCTTGTCAATCGGTGTTGTATGCAGTCTGTTTTACTTTGCTGTTTTGAGCCTTTTTTTTGTGACCTGACACTTTCTTTTGTCTTCAAATGATTTGTAGATCTATCTCTTATGTTTTTAAGGGCACAAAATTATTCAGATATCAATTTTGTATAAAAAGTTACGTTTGGAATACGAATACTACGCAAGTAGTGTTTCTGTAGAGTTGGCTGCAACTTGTGGTTTAAATTTGACCAATTTTCATCCCTTTAGCTTGCTCGTTTGCATTTGAGGTCTTCACAGACCTATCTCTTGAATTTTTCATATTTTCAAA